TAACCCATGAAATGAAAGCGAAGGGACAGAACAAAATCACTTGAATTACAATATATTTAAACCTTTCTTTTGTCCAATGACACACACACACACACACACACAAAAACATAAGCCAACTGCTCCATCTTTTATTCACTACAGAACTGTAGAAGCTCCAGCACAGGGTGGCTGTTCTATGTGTGCACCACTGTGGCTGAGTGGGAGCAGAAATCCTACACTTTCATCTCACAGACAATAATACAACAATAAGCAGAACTGCTGAAGTACTGGAGGGTTTGTTTTTTTTTTTTACTTTTAGCGTCTCAGCTCATAATGCCTCTCTGATCCTGCTGCATTTGTTTGTTTGTAACTCCAGCCGGTGAGCCACATCTATTCAGAGCGTCTGACCCACAATTTTAGTTATGCAATGCTACTTTAGAGAAAAGGTCAGGGGAGCCCACCGAGCCACAATACAAAGGTTGAGTGAGGACAGGGAGAGCTCAATTTAGAGCTCTGTGTGTGTAAATAGTAAGCAGATGTATCAGCAAAGCCACACGTCTTCCACGGTCAGATATCAGATTTATACTCGGTGCCACAATGCCAGCATTTATCATGTATTCTCTATATGCTTTTTAATGACTCACCTTTGTGTCTGTTTTTGGGATCCTCCATGGTCTTGGGTTGCTGTGTCTCCATGACTAAGGGAAGAAACAGGACAGGAATGTCCAACGCAGGAGATCTGATAGCAGCCAAAGCAGTCCTTGGTTTATAATCAAGGCTGAAGTCTTTTGAATTTGGGTCACTGTGGATCCTGATCCCTAGGATTGTTAACGATTGCCTTCTGTGGTTTTAAGTTATACACAAACAAAGTGTTTTCCAATTTCTTGTCCAGGACTCCCAAACCGAGGCTCACTGTACCCGATATCTCAAGCTCTTTCTGGGCATGCTTGAACTCCCAGTGCATGAAGCAGTAACAGTGACTGACAGCAACAGCTGCACCGCCGGCTGCTGAACCGGAGCTGGAGAGGGAAGTGGAATAGAAATCTTTGATCTTATTCCAACAATTTAACTTGCAAGATAGTGAAGTTTCTCATCTGTGCAAAAGTTTAAACATGTTCGTTTTTTCAAGTCAGGGTAGGTAGAAGTGATAGCACGGATAAAAAGAAGCTGAAATAAGACCTGAAAGAAGGAGTTTGAAAACCTGCATCTGTCTCAGTTTCATTGTTGACACACGAGGGCGACAAATGACAGGTGAACATGTACCATATCTCATAAATTTAATGCAAAATGAACTCATTGTGGTCACACAAACATCTACAAGCAGTAAAATAATTTTCTATTAATAGTTCATAGCAGTTTTTAACAAAATTCATGTTTCATAAAATGGAAACCCTGAGTTTATCAGACATGTAGATGTCAGACATTTGGGAGTACATATCAAAGTCCTCATGTCTTCTTCCCCCTGCCTTTTCCTCTCATGCTTCCTCTTCCTCTCGTGCTTTTCGCTCCGCGTCCTCTCCGGCTCCCCTCGAACACAGATCGGGCTGTAACCATAGCAACTCCAGGACCACCGTCGCTGTCCTCACCAGAGCTACTGCTGCTCATCCTGGTTCTCTTAGGTGAAGTTTTATTAGACTGAGGAACAGACTTTACTGAGAGGGAGTCATGACTGGTGCTACTGCTATCTCTGAGAGCTGTAAGAGGAGATTCATCAGTCATCTCTGAACCTAAAAAGCCTCCTCCTGCCACAGATCTCCTCACATCTTTCTCCTCTCCTCCTTTATCCTGACTCCCTTTCTTAGACTTAGACAGGGAATGCGTATCGTCCTCACTGTCATCCTCTTCCTCCTCGGCTCCTCCTTCCCTCTCTTTTCGCTTCAAGCAGGTGACCGCTCGGCGGAGTCGCTGACTGCGGATCGCCTGCTTCTCACGTTGCTCCATGCGGAAGAACGAGTCTATCCGCAGCTGAGTCTAAACCAAAGCAGACAAGACATGAACGGTAGAAGGCTACAAGCCAGTTTAATTTATTCTTTCTATTATTGATTTTTCAAAAGTTACACAGTCTAACTGGAGACATTTAACCCCTGAGACCCAGGTGGTTGTTTGATATCCACGGGTTTGAATTTACAGCATATTAGTACTGTTTAAGACTAAGATTAAGTAATGCTAGCGTGCTTACTGTTTTTAGCTCGATATGTAACCGTTCATTATTCTGATTCCTGCTATGTCAGCAATCAATAATCGTTAGCTAATAAAACATTTAGGCAATTATTTATTTTAGTTAACATATCTTAGCTAAGCTAACTTTTTTGATAACATGCCAAACTATAACCAACTATCTGCACTGTTTATTGTATCTTTAGGTTTTAGCTTAACATTTAGCTAAACATTTTAGCCATTTTATGCTGTGTTTAACAATAATAATAAATTTTATTTGTGTTTCAAAACATTCTGGGACACCTTAAAATCAATTAAATAACAAAATCACAGTATGAATAAAATTGTTGATATGCATTTTAAAATATAAGGAGCTATCACAAACAACACCTAAGGTCGTAAACTATTAGGAAAAGAGATTTAACAATTGTCAATGCATAGAGAGAATTTATAACATTTATCGAGAACAGTTTTGGTTCCTACCAGAAGAGCCTCTGTTTTGTCACAGTTTAAGAAACGAGAGATGAAGGTGGGCGGCCGAACTAGGCTCAGTTGACAGATAAACCTGAGCGTCATCAGCATAAAAATGAAAATGTAGCTAAATTTTCTAATGTGACCTAATGGTAAAACATAAATAATAAATAGAAAGGGCCCTAAGACAGAGCCCTGGGGAACACCACTGACAAGCTTGTGATCTGAAATGTATTTTTCCTTCTAGCTACCCATTACAATTGATAGCCTTCAGCTAACCATTTAACTGTTTACTCATTACTTTTAACTTGCAAATATTCAACCATTATGTTTAGCCTATCACTAAATTTCTTCTCACTTGAGGTTACTGAAAACTGATCTTTGGAGAAGCTATTTCCCGAGTGAAGACTTCAAGAAACTGTTTACATGTGGAAAAAGAACGCAAAGATTTTGTTTTGCATTTTCAAAGGTGTGCGCCTCTCTCTCCTTTTTTGACATTGGCCTCCGTGCCAGGTTATTGTTGCTTTGACATGCTCACACGTGGATGTAACCTGGTTACCTGCTGGGTGTTGAGCTGCTTGATCACAGGCTGAAGAGTCTCCTCTGTTTTCCGACTGCTCCAGCCAAAACGACTCAGGCAGAATGTAAAGCGCTTGTTAAGAAATATTCATACATTCAGGAAAAGCAGGCAAACACATTCCCACAAACAGAGAAAGGATATTCTTTGATCATGTCCAGCTGTGGGCGTCCCCAGCTGAAGGAGCTGTCTGACTGGTCAATAGTGGGGTGCAGGTAAGCCTGAGCCACCACAGGGTTGGGGAAACCAGGCTGCAGTTTCAGATCCCTCAGCTTCTTCTTAACTTTTGTGTCCCGAGAATCAGACACCAGGCGCTTTTTCTCTTGAGCCTCTGACCACCAGTTACTACAGTTAAATTAAAAAAATAATAAAAAAACAAAGGCAACAACAATAATTTACTCATGGTGTTTTTTAGCACACAACCCAATCCTAAAAAATATGTAAATGCAAAAAAAAAAAAAAAATGCAATGATTTGCAAATCTTATATGATAACATTATTCACATTAACATTAAAAAACATTAAACATTAAAAAAATGAGAAAAATATTGGCTCAATTTGAATTTGATGGTGGCAGCATGCTTGAAAAAAAAAAAATTGGCACAGGGACATGTTTGACTCCAATGACTCCCACCCCCTCCCTAACACACTGGACAATCTGAAGAGCAGTTTCAGAAACAGGTTCTTTCAACCTCGCTGTCTGAGGGAACATTATACAGGAGGTCATTTCTTCCTGTTGCTAGACTCTTTAATTCATCCACTTGGGTCCAAAAGATCACAGACATCCAGTACTGATTGTTGTCTTTGTCTCTTGCGCACAGAAGCAATCTCACCCACCTGAACTGTATCAGTGGCTCCAGCCCTGGTCCTGGAAACTCATTCAGTATCTCCATGCCAGTCACGTAGCCGACCCCTGGCACACCCTCCGTGTAGTCACTTCCAAGCAGGTAAGCCAGATTTATCATTTTAGTCCTGTCCAGACCTGATGGAGGCGAGATTACAGGTTGTTAAGTAAACAGGAAAAATAAAGAAAAGGACAGCACTCTAAGCAATAAGACTGTGCTGACAGCCTGTTACACAAACACTTCTCACTCATATGTACAATATTAGCTCATGAAATTCTTGTTGTGATGTGCCATCTTAGCACTATTACAACACTCCCATAAAATATGACACCATTGCAGCTGCAACCACCAATAAAACTAAATCAATCATGCAAGGAGCCATGTGGGTCGGTGTGCTGGTTTAAGAGAAAATAACTATAATGTGCCCATGAAAGAACATGACTGCTGTGTTTCCACAGCAGTCATGTATGTAGATTTAATACATTTGATTGGAAGCAGGCTTGAATTCCATCCTTTGATATATATTTTTTATATAACTGCACACACACACACACACATACACACACACAGCAGCTTCACTGACTGAGCTGGCTCTGCAGGTCGCTGTACTGGTAATGTTCGACATATTTGTCCTGGCTGAAGAAGTTCTTGTAAACGTGACGTCCTCCGAACAGCCACACGTCCGAGTCGTCTGTGATGGTCCCGTGGGTGTGGTCGGCCCAATCGAGCGCCGCACACTGAGCCTCGGCCTCCATCGGAGCCACCAGATATGGGACGCCGAACAGCCGCAGCAGCTCCTGGTTTCAAACGGTCATTACTCACAAAGTACAATAAGACGATGTAGAGCGTTCTCAGTATCAGAGTTGGGGTTTAGGGGTTTGGGTCTCATTATGTCCTGAGATGTGTTAAAAGACTCTGATCTTAAAATTACAACCCTTTCAGCTCAACAGGCTGCGGATGTTTCCGTGGTCATCTGAGAGATACTTCTGCTCTTAGCAGCTGATTACAGGAGCAGCTGACAGGATTAAAAACAGATCGCACACACTGAGCTTTTACCTTAGTGTGAATTTTATGAAGGAGAAAATGCTGACAGCATTTGGCTTTCAGGGGTGTGAGCGAGCCAGCAGACGCACAGCAAAGACTGTGAGGTAGCAATGACTCTGGGAATGTCTGGCAGAGGTGATGCTGGGAAATGTATCCCTTGCTGGGAGTTAACACCTGCTCTGATCTGTCAGATCCGCTGTCAGCGCATTAATCTATTTACATGCTGGTTTCTATTTTTTCTAATTAAAGTGTACACATCAACTTTTTAAAAAAATATATATACTTGTTTACGGTTTGCGTGTGGCTGTATGTGCTGATGTGATTTCTCTCTCACCTGGCTCTCCAGGTACATCTGCCCGGTGACTGTGTTGGCCATTCTCTCCTGCTGCTGTTTCTGCTCCCTCAGGTTGCTCTGCTCCACCTTCAGGGAGCTTTCCAGGGCCTCCAGCTCATCCTGCAGAACAAACACACACTTTTGCATGTCAACCTGCTCCTTATAGTCTTGTTTCTGTTTATGCTGAATAATGCTTGATGTGCAAAACAACAACAAATAATTATAGATAAACCAGAAAGTCTGAAACCGTCATTTCTTCACAAGCAGTAATGGATATAGCTGATAAGAAATCAAAGTACAGACAGAGAAATGACGTGGGTGTTACTTTTGAGTTGCAAAACTGGTCATGAATCATCGAATGAGTGTTTGCTTAATAATATTAATAGGAAAGGGTGTTAGTTGAGTATTCTCTGAACATCTGGTCTTTCCTCAGGAGACAAATCAACACCAGTTTGGTAAAACTTACTTACACGACCATCTCAAGTTAATGGACTGGGTTTGGGGATATGCCCATCATAATAATT